ATGGTGTAAAAGCATTCCTATATCTCCACAGCCTCGTGAGCAACTGTTGTTTCCTGACTTTTTAGTGATCACCATTCTAACTGGCATGAGATGGTATCTCATTGTGATTTTGATTTGCATTTCTCTAACGACTAGTGATGATGAGTTTTTTTCTCATATGTTTGTTGGCCATCTTCTTTTGAGAAGTGTCTGTTCATATCCTTTACCCACTTTTTGATGGGTTGTGTTTTCTTGTGTAGATTCTGGATATTAGACCTTTGTCAGATGAGTAGATTGCAAAAATTTTCTCCCATTCTGTAGGTTGCCAGTTTACTCTGATGATAGTTTCTTTTGCTGTGCATAAGTGCTTTAGCTTAATTAGACCTCGTTTGTCAATTTTGGCTTTTGTTGTAATTGCTTTTGGTGCTACACACTTTTAAACAACCAGATCTCATGAAAACTCATTCACTATCACAAGAACAGCAAGGGTGACGCCCATCCCCACGACCCAATCACCTCCCACCAGGTCCCTCCTCCAACTCTGGGGATTACAATTTGACATGAGATCAATCCACTTCTGTCCTCTATTAAGTTTCATGTTTTTATTCATCTAGGTCCTGCTTACTTCCTGTTAGGGTTGGTTGTTGTTTTGATTTGTGATCAAAAAAAGTTTACTTGTGATATTTTTGAACTGGTTTTGGTTGGAATATAAGAATACTATTAATTTTTATGTATTGTTTGCAATGACTGCCTTAGTGAATGCTCCTATTACTTCTTCTTCTTCTTCTTCTTTTTTCTAAATAGAGATGAAGTCTTACTCTGTCATCCAGGCTGGAGTGCAGTGGTGCGATCTCGGCTCACTGTAACCTCTGCCTCCTGGGTTCGAGCGATTCTCCTGCCTCAGCCTCCCGAGTAGCTGGGATTACAGGTGCCTGCCACCAACCTCCGGATCTTTTTTTTTTTTTTTTTTTTTGTATTTTTAGTAGAGACAGGGTTTCACTGTGTTAGCCAGGATGGTCTCAATCTCCTGACCTCGTGATCACCCCGCCTCGGCTTCCCAAAGGGTTGGGATTACAAGTGTGAGCCACCGCGCCTGGCCTCCTTCTAATAACTTTTAAGTTGATTCCCTTAGGCTTCCCAGGTATATATTGTAATGTCATTTGCAAATAATGACAATTTTACCACCTCCTTTTGAATGTTTAAACCTCAAATTTTGGTTTTTTAGCTGACTATACTATCAAACAATTATAATTTTTATGAAAAAAGCTGGGACTAAGACAAAATCTTTTGAACTGGGGAAAATAATATATAGGAAAACTATTCTACACATTTTATTATTTAGATTGAGGCTTAAATGTGATATGATGTTTCCAAACTACCCTCTCCAAAAGCTCAAAACCAAAACTTTCCACTTAAAAAGCTTCCCAGAATTGTAGTTTGTTTAAATATGCCGTATCTGCATTGTTTTGAAAGAACTTGAAACAAAGTCTGGATTCCAGGTGCAGCCTGACTTTTTTCTTATCATTTCAGATAAAAGTTCAAAGGGAACTTTTCAGAGGGCTTCAGACACATCATTATCCCAAATAATTTGTTGAATTAAAAGCTTTGGATCAGGAAAACAAGAACCCCAAGTTATTTAAGGGTGAGTCTTCTGCAAATCTAGAGAACAGGCCACCAGCACAAAAACAACATAACCTCCGCTTTCAGAGGAATGCTGCAGCCTTCGCCAGGCATTGGCTCCTGTTCCTTAACAGCAGTTTGTTAACACTTTCTTGAGCAGTGGGAGTGGTAGATTCTCACAAGGGAAACTAGGAGTAGCAATCTGGAGGGAAGGGGAAGCTAGAGGACTTGTCTCAAGGCTACTTCTGCATAGTAAATAATGTGTGTTCTAAATATGCTTTTTTTTTTGAGACAGGGTCTCACTCTGTCGCCCAGGCTGGAGGGCAGCGGCGCAATCTTAGCTCACTGCAGCCTCTGAGGCCTCCCAGGTTCAAGTGATTTTCCTGCCTCAGCCTCCAGAGTACCTGGGCCCACAGATGCACACCACCACACCTGTGGGGTTTTTTGTTTGTTTGTTGTATTTTTAGTAGAGACGGGGTTTTGCCATGTTGGCCAGGCTGGTCTCAAAATCCTGGCCTCAAATGATCCACCCACATCTGCCTCCCAAAGTGCTGAGATTACAGGCGTGAGCCACTGCGCCCAACCAAAAATATGCTTTTATCAATAATTATAAATTTTTGTTTATGTATTCATTATGATTCTGGAAGGGGGTTGTGGGGTTTATAAAAATTGGTGGTGGGGAGCTAAAGCTCTCCCAGGCCATTCCTTCCCCTTGTCAGTGCTATAACGAACTGTTCTAAATTGATAGAAGATTTCAAGTGCTGTCACAATACACATACGTAACACACACACCCACACAAAGGTAACTGTGAGATGGATATGTTAATTTGCTTGACTGTAGTAATCGTTTCACTGTGTTTATGTATATACTACTCAAAATATACACTTTTTATTACAAAAAAAGAGTCAAAAATAAATCGTATGGAAATATGAAGTTTAAAAAGACACAATTCTTGACCTCAAAATAGCATATAGTCTAAACAAAAGGGTAAGGCACAAAGAGAAGGCAAAGCATAAATCAAAGAAAAAGACTGAGGTAACTGCTGATTATGGGCACAGTACATAACCAACTGTTCCACCTTGAGGTTACAAATGAAAACATCAATGTTGAGGGCTAAGTTGGTTTTAAATTCTGCCTTAATACTGTGTTGATGGTGGCAAAAGACCTCCATGGAAGGGGGTATAGGAAGAAGGAAGGGCAAGTGTCTTTTTCCTAGTACCCCAGAAATGAGGTCCTAAGCCCTGGTGAGTCCAGAGATGCACCTCGTCCCAGTACACAGCTAATTATGTATCAGCTCTTTGGGAAGAGGGGTTTCAAATCCTCCAGAGAGTTCAACTCAGGTCTGGAGACTGAAAACAACCCCGGTGGAGCAGCTTCATTCAACACTTACTGTGTAAATATGTTATTAAGCACTATATCGGGGATAAAATAGGACAAATATGTTCTCTATCTTCAGAGTCACTGGAAGAAGTTTTCCTCTCTGCCACCTCACTATCACACTCAGGATCTTACCTGTGCATAATCATTCAGAAGGATCTACCAAAACAACTGGGCTTGCATTTTCCAGAAGCTTCTTATCCTCAAGACTGTGTGCCCCTTATGAATAGAGTGCAAACAAATGCAACAAAAAATGTAGAAGATGCTGTGGCCCACTCCTTTTTTTTTTTTTTCTAGAGACAGGGTATCACTGTAGCCCGGGCTGGAGTGTAGTGGTGCAAACATGGCTCACTGTAGCCTCCACCTCTAGGGCTCGAGCAATCCTCCCACCTCCCAGCCTCCTGAGTAGCTGGGACCACAGGTGTGTGCCATCACACCTGGCTAATTTTATAATATTTTGTAGAGATGGGGTCTCCCTGTGATACTCAGGCTGTTCTCAAACTCCTGGCCTCGAGCAATCCCTCCACCTTGGCCTCCCAAAGTGCTAGGATTACAGGCGTGAGCCTGGACAGTTCTCTTTAACTCTCAAATGCCCACATCAGAAAAGATAGTACAAATGTAAGTTGATTTTCCTATTGCTCTGTAGGGCCACTGTGTTAACAACAATTTTTAACTTAATGAACGATAACTGTGAGCCAATTTAAACCAAATAAACCAGGCCAAGTCATTGTATTACACAGTAGATCAGAGCAAAATCCATTCTAGCCTGGACCAGTGGTATCCAAACAAAAGGCCAATGTAATTAACATTCCACCCTGAACTCTTTTTTTTTTTTTTTTTTTTGAGACAGAGTCTCACTGTATCACCCAGGTTGGAGTGCAGTGGTGTGACCTCAGCTCACTGAAACCTCTGCCTCCTGGGTTCAAGCAATTCTCCTACCTCAGCCTCCCAAGTAGCTGGGACCACAGGTGCGTGCCACCATGCCCGGCTACTTTTTTGTATTTTTAGTAGAGACAGGGTTTCACCATGTTGGCCAGGCTGGTGTTGAACTCCTGACCTCAGGTGATCTGCCCACCTTGGCCTCCCAAGGTGCTGGGATATTACAGGTGTGAGCTATAGCGCCAGGCCCCTGAACTCTTGAGTCTATCCACCATCCCCTCCTCCAAAACTTCTTCCTCCCCAGGCTTTCTCCACCTCAAAAAATGGCAACCCCATCAACCCAGCCACTTGCTTCATCCAGAGACTTGGGAGTCATCTTTAATGCATCTGCTTTCTAACTTCTCAGATCTAATGACTACATCCTGTCAATTCTACCTCCAACTTCTCTTGAATTCATCTACTTCTCTTTCCTCTGGCATCACCCTGATCCAAGTCATCTTTATCTCCGTCTTAGAAAACTGCAATAGCTTCCTAGCTGACCTGCTTACTTCCACTCTTACAGGAATCCATCAGATTCCTCAGATACCTAATAGGCCTCTTTTTCTCCACATACCTAGCTCATCATAGCACTCATCACAATTTATTTAAATATATATGTATGTATATAGTTACACACATTTGTTTATATATGTAAATGTATAATGTTTACATACATTTGTTTATATATGTAAATGCCCTCAGGCGGGCAGATCACCTGAGGTCAGGAGTTCAACACCAGCCTGGCCAACATGGTGAAACCCTGTCTCTACTAAAAACGTATATATATACACGTTTATGGAATGTTTCTCTCCTCAGAATTTAATCTCCATGAAGACAAAGTCCATGTCTGATTTTCTTTTACTGAAGTTTTATTCCTAGTGCCTAACACAGTACCCAGCATATAGTCAGCATCAGTAAAACTTGTTGGAAGAATGAATGAATGAATGAATGAATGAATGAATGAACGAATGCTTTGTGGAATCCCTGCATGACAGAAGTCCTTCTGTTCACAATAGACAACTGTAGTCCAGAGTCCATTCTCTTAAAAGTCTTTCTTTTAACCTCAAAGCCACATGAGTCAATTCCTCAAAGAGAATGTACTTACTCCTCCAGGCTGATTATATAGTGACCTTCTAGCAGAGTCATTTAGGAAGAAAACAGTCAGATCTCTGATGGAGCCAGACTAGATGGAGAGAAGCCAAATGAGAATTCTCTTTCTAATGCGTTGGAAAGATCTGAAGAAGAAAATGAAACAAAAATCTCAGTCTTAGAGCCTTTGAGGAATTCTTGCCATCTGGTGGCAATAATCTTAATCTGCAGGCAACCAAGTAGTTTCCCTCAACTTTCTATAATGTCTCAACATTTCTGAAATTGTACAATGATTTTAACCTTGGTGTGGGTCTCCTTTGATTTCATCATGCCCTGTATTCTAGAAATTTATGGCCTTCAGCTCTGGGAAATTTTCTCAAATTATTTCTTTTAGTATTTTTCTTCCCAATATTTTCTCTTTCTCCTGTTGAAATTTCTATTATATTATTCAGATGTTAGATCTCTGATCTTTTAACTTGCTTTTCTTTTTTCTTCTATCTCCCATTATGTCTTTTTGTACTAATTTTTGAAAGGTAATACTTTTGGCTCCACCAAAATATCACTAAAACAACCCACTGATTAAACAAAGACAACTTTATTCCTATGGCAGTAAGGAAGAACACTAACTTGACAGAGTCTTAGTAGCCTCTCAGAAGGGGCAGGGAAAAGTTGACATATTTATGAAGTTTTGAAGTCTGGTTTAAGTCGGGTCTTTCAATGCTAGGGCTTGATCAGAATTGGATAAGGATAATAGTTTAGAGTTGGTGGACACAGCAAGGATTTTGAGGTGACGGATTCAAAGAGTGTTGGTGCCAGTCTTGGTGGCTCATGCCTGTAATCCCAGCACTTTGAGGTACTGCTGAGGGAGGATCACTTGAGCCCAGGCATCTGAGACTAGCCTGGGTTACATAGTGAGACCCCTGTCTCTACCAAAAAATAAAAAATTTAGCTGAGCATGGTGATGCATGCCTGTAGTCCCAGCTACTCAGGAGACTGAGGAGGGAGGATCACTTGAGTCCAGGAGTTGGAGGCTGCAGTGAACTATGATCATGCCACTGCACTCCCGCCTGGGCAATAGAACGAGACCCTGTCTCAAAAAAAAAAAAAAAAAAAAAAGTAAACTGTCACTTGATAATGTCTATTGGTAAATTGGACAGTTTGATGTTTATTTTAACAGGTTCTGGGGGAAATAAATCCCAGAAGAAACAAGGTTATTTGCTTCTTTTATTGCCTCATGAAAGAGGTCCTTTTTATAATAAAGTTTTATTTGTGAAGAGACTGAAAGAGTAATGTCTTGTAAATTTAAACAATAAACTATGTGGCTTCAGTCCTCAGAAACCACTTTATTTTCCTTGTCTTATTTTCCTTCCCTTCTGTTGAATATATTTTTTTTTTACTATAGCATTTTCCACTTATAAGGGTTTCTTTTCTTCTCAGTACTCCTTTTTAAAGCCTCCTTTCTTTGGGGAGAAGGGAGATATGGTATCTTTTCCTAGCAACGAGAACAAACAGTAGGTATTTTTTAAACACATTTTCCTGCCAACTCCATTGCTTTGATTTCCTCTGAGTTCCATTTTGTTCATTCTGTCCTTCATGCTGGAGAAATTCCTTTATTGTCTGAAGGTGATCCTTTATAGGACAGTGACCAATCACAGGCATAAAGTATCAGTTAAACAAGATGAATAAGCTCTGGAGATCTGCAGCATGACAATGTGCCTATAGACAACAAAAACATATTGTACACGTAACAGTGTGTTAACAGGGTAGATTTCATGTTCAGTGTTCTTACCACAATAAATTAAACTAAAAAAAGAACAGTGAGACCAATGCCAGAGGTGAGGCAGAGTAGGAGGCTGGACTGATCAGTGTAGAATGATCTTATTAAGCTTGGAAGGTTTTCCCTGCTTCCTGTGGGTTGAAGAGGGTAAGCTTGGTTGCCGCATTCTCAGAGTTGAGTTGGAGGAGTGAGCTGGGTTGTCACTGTCTAATACTGGCTTTCGTTTAAGTCCCATTTTCTGTAAAGCATCCCTGCCCTCATCTATGGCTTTTTTCTTTTTTTTTTTTTTCAGTCACTTTTCCTGTTTCAGAGATACCTAGCACCTCGAATACCCAAGCTTTTCTGCAGTTCTGGGAATTGGCTTGCTCTGAGTTTCTTTCATTCGTAGTTTAATGGGTTAATGACTCTGCTAGGTCAGTTTCCACCTTTCCATCTGCTTTACAGCTCTTAAAGTGTAGTCACTGTCATCTTCTTACCCAGTTTCTTTGTCCTTGTGGGTTTATGCATTTTGAATATATTGGCATTTTAGAAGACTTTGGCTAGGCATCAGCGGTAATGAATGTGCTCATTCGACCACATTTAACCAGGAGTCTGCATTATATTCCTAACGTCCCCTCCAACTTCTAATTCTGTGATTTTAAATACAGTTTAATTAAGGCAAGAGTGAGTACATAATTAGATACGATGCTGGAGAGATTACAATTTCATGCAAATGAGATAAAAAAGAGAGGTAATTAGCTTTAGCTTTTCAATAATCAGTCTAGGGGAAGCTTCACGGAAGAGGTATTTTAATAACTGAATCTGAACCCTTTCTCTCTTTCTCCCTTAAGAGCAGCATGGGTGAACCAAAGAGAAGTCGAGGTAGCCTGCAGCAATCTTGATCTTGATCCAGACTGCAAAAACAAATTACCATTAAGATTTAGGAAGGAAGAAGAGACAATATTAAAAAACCTGAAAATCCCATAGGGAGAAACTGCATCTGCCTGACTAAGGCAATGCTAATAGGAATAGAAAGCAAGCATGGATAGATATTTAGATGATATGATTTTGCATTTTCTAAAGTAATGAATCAAGGGCTGGGCGTGGTAGCTCACATCTGTAATCCCAGAACTTTGGGAGGCCGAGGCAGAGGATCACTTGAGACCCAGAGTTCAAGACCAGCCTGGGTGACATACAGAGATTCCATCTCTACAAAAAACTTAAAAATTCGCTGGACATGGTGGTACATGCCTGTAGTCCTAGCTACCTGGGAAGTTGAGGGGGAAGGCTCGCTGGACCCCAGGAGTTTGAGTCTGCAATGAGCTATGATTGTGCTGCTGCCCTCTGGCCTAGGCGACAGAGAAAGACCCTGACTCTAAAATTTAAAAATACATAAAAATAAATAATGAATAAAAATTGGTAAATTATTAACAGCTTACTGAATACCTATAAGTAAACAGGACACTGTACTGATGTAATAAGAAAGAGAAAAAAGAATTGTGCTCAGAAGTTGGTGATATTCTTAAATACTAAATATTTTTGATATTGTTGGGTAATTTATGACTTAAGAACAATTACAAAGTGACAAGTTAATGAAAAGCTTAGAAGATTTCAGTACAAATTAATACTGGACATGCAAGAATGATTCAAAAAGGAAATTAAGAAAACAGTCTCATTTATAATGGCATCCAAAAGAATAAAATATCTAGGAATAAATTTAACTAAGGAGGTGAAAGTCTTGTGCACTGAAAACTACAATACATTGCTGGAAGAAAGTTAAGAAGACATCAATAAATGAAAAGATATCTCATATTCATCTATTGAAAATTGGAATATTTAATATTTAATATTAAGACAGCATTGCTACCCAAAGTGATCTGCATATTCAATGCAATTCCTATAAAAATTCCAATGCCTTTTTTTTTTTTTTTTTGCAGAAATGGAAAAGTTGATCCTCTCAAATTCATATGGAATTGCAAGGGGTCCTGATTATCTAAAATAATATTGAAAAAATAACAAAGTTGGAAGACTCACAGCTTCCAGTTTCAAAACTTACTACATAGCTACGGTAATCAAAAGAGTGTGTGGTACAGGCATAAGACAGAGATAAACATCAATGGAATAGAATTTAGAGTCCAGAAGTAAACCCATACATCTATGGACAATTGATTTTCAACAAGGGTGCCAAGACCATTCGATGGGGAAGAAGCAATCTTTTCAAAAAATGGTTCTGGGAAAACTGGATATCCACATCCAAAAGAATGACACTTTCTGGACCCCTACCTCACACCACATACAAAAAGTAACTCAAAATGGATTTAAAAAAAAGACCGGGTGTAGTGGGCCACACCTGTAAATCCCAGCACTTTGGGAGGCCGAGGCAGGTGGATCACCTGAGATCAGGAGTTCAAGACCAGCCTGGCCAACATGGTGAAACCCTGTCTCTACTAAAAATACAAAAATTAGCTGGGCATGCTGGTGCGTGCCTGTAATCCCAGCTACTTGGGAGGCTGAGAGAGGAGAATGGCTTGAACCCAGGAGGCAGAGAGATTACAGTGAGCCAAGATCATGCCATTGCACTCCAGCCTGGGCAACAGAGCCAGAGTGAGACTCCATCTCAAAAAAAAACAAACAAACAAACCTAAATGCAGGAACAAAAACAACTAAACTCTTAGAAGAAAGCATCAAGGTAAATTTTTATCACTTTGGATTTGGCAATGAATTCTTAGAGATGGTCCCAAAAGCACAAGCAATAACAGAAAAAATAGGTAAAATAGACTGTGTCCAAATTTAAAACTTTTATGTCAGGACATTACCAAGAAAGTAAAAAGACAACTAAATAATGGGACATTTGCAACTCATATATCTGCTAAGTGCCTGGTATCAGGTATATTTTTAAAAATTCTTACAGCTCAACAAAAAAATACAAGCAACTCAGTTTAAAAATGGGCAGAGGACTTAAATAGATATTTCTTCAAAGAAGATATACCAGTGGGCAACAACCACATAAAAAGATGCTCAACATCATTAGTCATTAGGGAAATGTACGTCAAAACCACAATGAGATACCACTTCAAACCCACTAGGATTGCTATAATTAGAAAACCAAAACCAAACAACAACAAAAAAACAGAAAACAGTAAGTATTGCTAAGGAGTTAGAGAAATTGGAACTCTTGTACATTGCTGATGGAATACAAAATGGGGCAACCATTGTTAAAAAACTGTTTGGTGGCTTCTCAAAAAAATCAAACATGGAATTACCCTATGACCCAGCAATTGTACTTCAAGGTACATATTCAAAGAATTGACAACAGATACTTAAACAAATACATGTACAAGGATATTCACAGCAACTCTATTCACAATAAGCCAAAGATGGAAACAAATC